AGTTTTCAAGTCGATTCGAGCCTACATTAAAGTTTTCGAGATTGAGTCGAGCTCGACAATACTCGAGCTCGACTCGACTCGTTTACACCCCTACTTAGATGGATAATATAAATTGTTTTTTCTATTATATTTCAATATTATTTAAAAAATCGCACAATAATGCAAAATATAAATGTATATGGTAGTTTTTTATTTGTATGAAATGTGTATTCGTCCTAAGATTAATTGGTATAACTTTAAAAATTGATTTTCCTCGCTTTTTATTAGTTTGAAAATGTCTATAATTCTTTAAATCACCAGAGAGAAAGAGAGAACATATAAGAAGATGTAAATGGAGGGGGAGTAAGAGTTTAGTTGATAATATTATTGTTAAAAAATTTATTAAAGTTTAAAGAATTATTGAGAGACCAAGAATGGATAAACTGACATAAAAATTTTTGATGAAAGCTTTTGCAAAAATAAAACACATGCAATTTGGAGTTGTTAAACTTACTCCATGATATCACACTAAGGATTTCACAAATTGTATATCTTTTAAGGACAAGGTATAGTCGTAAAATTCTCTATTTTATACTTAAACTATAGTCATATGGATCGCGGTACGCTTCGATACGGGAACATGAAACGGAATCGCAATTCGCTAGGTCCCTAAAATTTGGTACGAGGGGGGTAGACTCATTTCGGATTGCTCCGGAACGCGAGTTCGAATGTATTAAGTGTGTGTATATATTGCCACCTAATGTATAAAGATAACTAAAATAGAACATGCAAAACTTGAAGGTCAAATGCCTGAAATAACATAAATTAAAAAAAACCTTGGGACCGAAATGAAATGCATGTAAAAATTAAGAATCATATTGGAAGTTACAGAACCTTTGAGCAAGGACCAAAACACAACAACTTGAAACTAAAGGGAGCCTTTACATGATTAAACCCCTATTAGATGCAGTTCTAAAAGATGTCGTATCCATAGTATAAATCACTTTTTTGGGTTTCAGAAAACCCTAAACCTTCATTTTGTTCAACAAAACAGAAAAAGAGAACTTGGGAGTTCTCTGCATTCTCTATCGACGGAGAGAGCACCGCCACTCAACGGCGTGATCCACGACGGCCGAAACTTGACATAAAAGGCCCAAAACAACCCTCTCAACCTCCTAAACTTGGATCTAGAACCCTTTTTCCCAAAAACCAAGAAAAAAAACCTTAGATCTAAGAAATTACCTCTCGACCCCTTTTGAATGCGGTGACCTTCGAGTTTTCTGACGCCTAAAGCAGTTAAGCTTTCATCTTTCTCTTTTCCTTTCTCTTTCTTTTCTCTCGTATTTTTTTATTTATGTTTGCTAAATAATGGTTGATGGGTGAATCTCGTTTGCGGTTTTTTCTTTTCCTTTCTTTCAAAATAAAACACACACAATTAATACCTTCGAAATCGAAAAAAAAGACGATGAATAGCTCCTTCCATAATCAATTTTGGATTGTCGTACCAAATTGCGATTTTGAAACGAACTGGCGTACGGTACGTAGATCGTGGGCTATTGAGCGATTTATGTAACTATGCCTAAAACCTTGGGTAGACACTCCTAATGAAGAATTCACTCGTGATTATACCATCTTAAGGGTTTTGAAAAACCTTATTTTCATTCCCCAACTCCCTCAGCCGCCTCACTCGTTCTCCTCTCCCTTTCCCTTCTTCCTCGTTTCTCCTCACGAAAACAACGCGGCTCCCCGGCCACCGTAAGTCGGGGCCACGGGGAGCACCACAACCTTAACCACTCTACTTCCTCTCCCAGACCTTAACCAACCAAAAACAACCGAAAACCCACCCCTAAGAAAAACTAGATCTAGGAAAAGAGAGGTTGTTTTACCTTCGGTGGGCTTTTCACTCCGGCGAGGATACACGCTCGGATCTCTCTCTAAGGTATGCCTCTCCTTTTTTTTGTTTCTGTTTCGAATCTCTCTTTTTTTTTTCTCTATTCCCTGTTTTTTTTTCAAAAAACCAACCGAATGCCTCCTTTTCTTGCATGTGCTTTATCTTGCCTTTGGTTGAGAGATGAGGTCTAGGAATAGGAATGAGATTTCTAGATTTTAGGTGAAAATCCCGGATTTTTGGATTTATTGGGTATTTTATTTGGGGTTTCAATTTAGGCCACTGTTCTTTGATTTGGTTACTGTTTTTACAGGAACCGGTCACTGTTTGATGGATGGACTCCTATCAGCTCCGTTTACAGGAACCGGTCACTGTTTGATGGATGGACTCCTATCTCCGATGACAGCGGCGGTGAGGGAAGCAGTCGGCTTGAGCGGCTAGGAAATTGAAGGCCAAACGGCGACAGTGGTTGGCTGTTAGATGATACTTTTAGGGTTTCAAAACCCTAGGGTGAATCAAGTTTAGGGTTTAGTTGATGGGTGTTAGGTTTTAGCTAGTTGGCTCTGGGATTGGGCCTCTTGGTGGGCTTCGGGAATTGATTAGGGTTGGGTACTTGTAAACTGGTTGGGCTTCAGGTTTGGGCCTCAGGATTGGCCTGCAAGACGTAAATTGTAATTAGTAATAATAATAATAATAATAATAATAATAAAAAAAAAATCAATATAAAAGACCCGGACAAAAACGGGTGTCTACACATATTCAAGTAATCTTATTTTATGTACGATAATTTAAATATTATTGTAATTTCTGAAAAATTACAAATACATAATCATTAAGGAAAAGATTTGAGAAAGGAAGGCTTTGGAATAACACATTTCTTAAACCTGCATATGGATATATCAAAAAATCTTAAAGAGATTAGAGTATCCTAATAGTTACAAGATAGCTAAATGTGAGAAAAACATCTCCTTAAGAAGGACGAAGAAATCCGTAGTTTAGAAATGCCACATCTTAAGAAGAACATATCTCAATATCATGAAAGCATTAATGTATCTTGATAATAGTATAACACCTAATCATACAGTAGCACCTTTAGAATCGAGAAGAAAGATGCAGAGATTTAGAATTTGATCACTTGTTTTGGCCGACTCCCATGTTTCCCTAGTGCCTTGTCCCAATGCAGTGTGAAAATTGTCAAATGGAACCAACTCCATCCTGTAAAAAAAATGCACAGAATGGTTTCCATAAGTGAATCGAATAACATAACAGCAAGCAAGATTGGGTATAAGAGTATCATACTGTATTTCAACTTCCTCTCTTGTGCCAGACGTAGAAGGTAAATCGATCATGTCTCTGCATTCTTCGTTCTATCAGCCTAAACCATTTCTGTAGCCAGAATCCTCTCAAGGAAGGTCCTGCAGACAGATAGAACATGCGTTGTTCCATAATTCGGAAGCCATGTTTTATTTCATGTGAAAATGGGCAGTACTTGGATTGATTATAACCAACAGTGGCACATCGCTGAGCACAATATAAAGAAAGGGCTAATTCTTCATACCTTCAAAATGAACGAGGATATGAAGAAAGAGGCTACTTCTTCATTACCTTGAAAATGAACGAGGTAGCTGATACGGTGATAGGCTTTTTGGACATTCCACCATATGTACCATAGTTCCTCCCTGCCTGAAATTTGCATTCCAATGGAAGTTGGATTCTTATTACAAGAAAATGTCCAAGGCCATCAGTACTTTACCTTAAGAACTTAACCAAAGAAGCGGTATTTCCACCAACGCAGTTCAATCCCAGAGCAGGTTCGGGTAAATTTGACTACCATGACAATAACAATCAAATGAAAAGATGGGTGATCAGTGAAAAGTCGTATCTAGCACCTTTAATAACATGAAATCCATGCATGAAGATCAAAGATCCTCCCACAGTAAACTATACTATGTTCCATTAATGATAGATAATACCAGAAGGCTCTTAACATTCTTCACTTCCATTTGGCTCTCAGTAAATACTTCATCGCACCAAGAGCTTTTAGTTTTTCTTTTACTTCATCTGATCCAGCCCTAAAGCAAGCAAGGAATGGTAAATAAGATGCACTAGAAAAAATTGTAAGTATCACCTTCAAAAACCCTAACTGATAAGAAGTACAATCAATTAAATAGTTTAACTCGAAAATGTTTGTGGTCGATGACAGCAACTTCCCAATTAACAAAATATCCCAAACTGATAACACCATCTTCGTAAAGAAAGAAAGCAAGTGCAATGAAAAAGGGCATTCAGATACCTATATAAACTAAGTACAGCACCTGTCCCGGATAATGTTAATGCTATGAATGCCACGATATCTTGCAAGTTGGATTACACATTGGCCAACAATGCTGGTGGCCCCATTTTGAACGACAGAATCCCCTGCCCATACAGAATAATCAAGAAGAGCATGTGATAGAGGTTTGAACATCGTCTAATACCACATCAACAGATGTACCGGCGGTTAAAGTTGTGAAATCTTCAAGCATCCTTAAGCAGTCAAGGATTAACGGTAAGGTAGCAGCATATTCAATTGGTGAATCTTTATGATCTTGTGCCATGTATCATGGTCTTTGACAACATAAGTTTGCATGTTCCTGCCAATTATTTTCAATTGACCTTGGCATCAAAGAACAAAGATCAGTCTAAAACTTGTTCTTCCATTATTTGGCATATAATGAGAAAAACTACAAGATCAACAATTTTTTTTTAAATGGAGATGGATGTGAGAACATGTAAATTTCCAAGAAGTAAAAAAGAAAGGATCCCTCAAAAAATATAAATGAAAAATGAAAATCCAACAGCTTGCAAGTTTCAGCTATTAATAAGTAGAGAGTTGCCTTTCCTAATTCTTTTTAGCCCAATAGATTCAATATCCTACACTAAGTGCAAATAACACTAGCCATTCTAGACTTCCGCACCCAAACTTCTTTTAGCAGCAATTTTTTTTCACATTCCAACTTAAAAGTGCTTTGAGATATGAACTTCAGCACCTAAAATTGAAGATACATAACCAGAAAGAGATGTCAGATTACCAATTTTCAAACGTGAGGCACTCAAAGTAAAATAACAATGAGTAGCAAAGGTGCAAGAACAAACCAGAGGAAGGTGGAGACGGAATGACCAAATCACCCGGCAAGACCCTTAACTGCAGAACCAACAGAATATACTTCTCCAACACCTTCATAGCCTCCAACTGCAGGCACTTGTGGCCTCACAGGGTACACTCCTACACACCAAAACTTCACTTTTTATTTACAAAAGCCTTGCGTTCATTATTAATAATAGGGATAAATCTCAAAATTTTATATGAACTTTGATTCGATGTGCAAGTAAAACATGAACTTTAATTTTGTGTAATTGCATAAATGAACTTTAAATGTGTATGATAGAATCAAAAGCAAAGTTAAAAAAAATCAAAATTTCATGTGCACAGTTGTACCAAATTAAGTACACGTATTGCATTAACTCAAAGTTGTGTAAATTTGAGATTTATCCTTATTATCATCATTTAAAACCACCCATTCAAGTAATAAAATATCAGACTTATTAATCAAATGAAGGGAAAAAACAAGTTGGAACAGAAAGCTCAAACCTTCAATACGGTTAATATCAGAGGGATTAATGGGAGCAGCCAACATTTTAACGCAACTTGATTCTCCTTCACTTCTACTGGGGTAGCTCTATCATTCTATACAAATACAACAATAATCAATAATAATAATAAAAAACACAAAAGAAAATCTAAAATTGATATTGGAGACCTGGTGACGGAGTCGGGTGGGCCGTGGTGCTCGTAGACGACTGCTTTGGAAGGCGGAGAGATGATTGTCGACAATGTCCTCACGGTTTGGGCCTTGAGAAACTCCGGTTTAGACTCCATAGACCGGTACTCACTGCTTTTAGCGCAATTGATCTCGCCGTTGCCATTTCTAAGCTAACTTTTGCTTGAAGAGTATGTCCAGAAGAGTCCACTCCAAAGTTCAAGGCAGTTGGAAACGGCGATGCCGGTGAGGAATTCGAAAGCCTGTTTGACAATCCAACAACCAACACAGACCCAAATCCTGCTGACAAATGGGCTAAAAGGTGATGCATCTCAAATTCAGAGATACACAATCTGATCATGCTCCCAACTCTCAACCGGGCTAGGCTTTAGTTTTGGGTTCATAACCTTAAAGTTAAAACAAATTCTATAAAACTAATTTTTTTTTCTTAAAAATTATATAAGACACAAATTTATGCGAAATCATCTAATAGAAAAAGAGAGTAAAATATAAGATCTAGAATGATTATAACATCACCGTGTTTATGGTAAATAATTATACTTTTTTTATTAAGCTAAACGTGATTATAAAATAATATATTCTAAGTATTTGCAACAATTTGATAATAAATTCTCAATCACTTTACAGTTTGTGCTTGAACAACAACGATTCTTTTAACTACTGAGGTAAGTTGGTTCGTGCCATAATTATACTTTTAGTATCAATTAATGATTTAGAAAATAATGAAAGAGGTGAAATATTTTCAGCATGTGGTTAAAAGTTTAATTGACACCTTTTCATCTCCGAGGTTTTAGTAAAAAATTTAGATTCACTTAATTGAGTGGTCAAAATATTTATATTGTCTCGTGAGTTTAAATTTTGGTATTTACCTTAAAAATAATATCTCTACTAATTCAATATATATATATTAACCTTTTAAGGATTGTATATATAATAATTATTTGAATCGAATTATGTATTCAATCGTTAACTTGAAGGCCTTTGTTGAATGGTATCCAAAAAGTAAAATAGATAGATATAATGAGGAAAAAATAAAACTGTTGTTGATTTGTTTGAACTGAAAATTACACATGTAGAGCACCCTCGAGAATAATTTTCAATGTATCAGACTCATTTCAATGATTACATATTTTTGGGTTCTTTTTTTGCTTTCTCTGAGCTTGTTGGAGTAGTTCCCAGTTTTCCAGATTATCCAGATCGAGTGAGGACTCATTTCATGTATGCCTTGGGCTATGGGGGTAAAAAAACAAGACTAAGGAAATCTTTGAAAAAGAAATGACCTATGATGATTGCTTTTTCGATAGTTGAAACTCACTGATTTCACCCTCTCTGCAATTCCCCACTGATATTATCATTGAGTTGTTCTTTTCTGATCGCATTACTCTGCAACAATCCCCTCTTGGTGACTGCAAAAAACAAAAGCATATCAGGGTTCATGTTAGTAATGAAATTCATTGTTTTAGTCCATCTGTTAAATAAAACATAAATCCATTGATTAGCTTCGATGGTAAAAATGACTATCGTTCTTCCTATAGTACTCTGTGTGAGACTTTGAGCAGCTGCACATAGTATGTGCACATTATCAATAGACTAAGAAAAATTTTGAACATATAATATTTTATAATCATCTAATATATTAAAAAAAATCTTCATTCTTTGGTAGTTTTTCATGTGGTAATCTACACAAGAAAATATAAATTATTGTACCTTCTGCCATCGTTGATCATCTCGTTTCTTCAGGATGACAACGGAATCGAGTTTCTCCGGAGAGGGTATTCTCCAACGGCAGGGGCGACTCTTAATTTTATGACGGTAGTAAATGCTGATCGTTTGCCATCTAGGACGATCAAACTTGACCTTTCTCATATAGAAAACGAAGGGCTTTTGACAAGGGTGACTTTCAACAGGTCTGGTGTTGAATGCATAAGCAGTGTAATCGGCTCTCTTGTACCAATTCAGAAAAGTTCTCGACGGCATCTCCAGCTCCCTGGTGACATGATTCCCTCATGATTTGAACCACGTAGCCCCAAGAGATTGTGATCGACCAAAACCGATTCGAATCGTAACATATCGATTGTTGCATCAGGCTCCAGAGTCTTCTTTGGCAGCCTCGAGCAAGTGCTCGATTGCTTTGGCTCGTTTCATCCGGGGAAGATCGGTTCCACAACATCTAGGTGGTGAAGTGATACCAATGGAGTCACCGGGTGGGCTCCCAAGAGGCCAACCAAATCTCCATACACATCATACTGTAGAGAAAACAAGGTGAAAACAATTTACCCTTCCAAATTCTTGGATGAGTATCAACAAATCATATGTTTTAAACTTTCAAACTAGGCTTATTCAGAAATGTTTCATCTACTTTCATTGGTCAAATTATGATTTTCGTCCATGTACTTTAATTTAATATAATTTAAATCAACTTATAATTACTATTATTAATGTTACATTTTAATCCAAATCACTAACATCATGAAAAATATTCCATTAATGAGTTGATGTGTATTCTTTTAAAAAAAGAAAATCTCTAGACCCCAAGCTCCTTATATCAACTAAAATGTGAAATTATTTTATAAAAAGAACAAAATTTTAGGTAAGGATCATGATTCAGGCCTTTTTCATAAAAATTAATGGTGTTATTTTCTTGAACTAATTAATGATTTTATACTGACAGGGAAAGAAAATTATGTCAACTTAAAATATAGGGATAAATGTCATATTTAGCCATATAAAGGGAACAAAACCATGATGTGACTAAACTGTGTTAGTGACTTAGTCTTTTAGACTAAGGCTAAGGTGTGTCAAAAATAATAGTATGAGAATTAAATTATGGCAAGAATATAATACAAGGACTAATCTGAGCGTTTAGCATATTATAGGGACCCAAACCATAATTACCTACATTCACTCGAGAAGTAATTTTGTTACCTGATGGAAACCAAGTTCCTTGGTGAGTGGCACTCCAAGCTCAGCCATGCCGCCTGAATCCGATCATCACTGCCGTACAATCCCGGATACCGTTGGATGCAATTATCTTGCATCTTTGACAATTCTTTAGCCAATGGATAGCTTATTGCGAACCCACCACCACCGAACGCCATAGCATACGAAAAGAAAATGTTCTGAATATGGCTCTCCGATCCACTCCCGATGTAGTAAAACTGCGTGTGATCGTATTTCGAAAGCACCCTCGCCACATTGTTGACGACAAACCGTGTCGTCGTCCCCCATCACGAACCACCTTATATCCTTCATACCGAGCTTAAGCGTCTCGGAAACCACGCGCGTGATCCTCAATGCTGATCGAGAACCTTGCCTGTTCGTGTACTTGAACCTCGAAGTATCTTGAGAAACCCTAATTTGGGGTAATTTTTCGTTTGTGTTTCTCACTTTCTTGTCCACCCACCTACACCCCTAGTCTCTTTCGGCCTCCACCATGCTTGATGTACTCTTTTCGGGTTCGAACAAATTCGACAAGAAGCTATCCGAACGCGATGTGTTTGAGCTCGGTGTTGTAGCGGTTGTAGTGTCCGCTCTTCAACGACCTCTACCGATGCCGGCTTTGTTTCCGTCTGTAATGGTATGATGACCTTCGAAGGTGAAGATGATGATGATGAATTGGTGGTGGATGAACTGTTTGGGGACGATGAATCGAGTTTAGTGGAGATATTTCGATACTTGAAAGTGTCAATTTAATAGTAAAAATATCAAAGTTTTTATTATTTTTTTACTTACTTTTGAACATAAATCAAATGACAGTGTTAAAAAATTTGTTATTATATTTAAAGTTTCAAATTCAAGCACAACATATATTGGAATATCAATATTTATTGTCGAAGATTTAAAATCATTTGAACAAATATTACTTATTTATCATATATTTATTAAAATTACATACTTTTGATTTTTTGTGTTTATATTATATTTAATTTAAGTTTTTCTATTAAAAAATTCAACAAGTTATTATAAAATAAAGAAAGTAAAAGAAAAATAAGAATAAGAGATCAAAAATAAAGAAAAAAATCATGTATTATTTTCTAATGTGTCGTATATACAATATTTTCTCCAAATTATATATTTAGTCTTAAAGAATAAACACATCATAATATTGTAATCTTAATGGATATAAAAGTCTTATAATATAGTACATCAAAGCCATATTTAATACACATAGTTCTAACTTTTAATTATATGGATACTCGCAATAACAATACTCATCACACTCCCCAGATTCTCCCTTAGATGCCCATGAAAATAATACGCATGGTTAAACTTTAATAAAATAAAAACTTTGTGAAAAAAATCTTAGTGAAAGAAAATATATATGTATATCTTTAATATGCATACTATATTACTTCATTAAAAATCTTACCACGAATATTAGTGACAAAATCTCGGTTAAGGGATAAGAGTACTATTTGTATTTAATCCTCCTCATGACAATAACATAGATCTTTGATTATTTAAAATTTAACCTGGAATATAATCTTCACATGTGAAATATGCAATGCACTGATGAATAGATCTTCCAAATTATCATTGAACAATTTCGATGAATTATATTATTATTCTTATAAAGATCATGAGATAATTATTTTTTCGAAAATATGTTCATTCTTCTCTTTTGATGTAACTCTTTTAATTGAGTTTACATTCTATATATCTTCATATAAGATTGTTGGTATCTTATCCCATAAAAGTATATCATATTTTTTTTTCTGAATATGTTGATAATAGTTTTAGTCGAACACATTCTCAAATTGCCTCATGTATAACATTATTGTAATGATTTGAATAGACATCGACTATTGTAATAATCTTGTATCACTTAGATAGTAATTCTAGACCAGATAAGATACAATACTTTGAAATACGATGCTTATAAACCACGATTCTCTTACTTTCTTTGAAACAATTTTTTTATTTACATTTAATAATATTATAATTATCAGATTACTCAAAAGATACGTCTTATTATTAACGGGAGTTGATTCAAATGGTAATAATTGATATCGCTTAAGTAGGTTTTAAGTTAGTTGTATATGCAGAAAATCCCGTTGAGAGATTCATCCACCAAAATCAAGTGTACGGGAGTCATTCGGATAATTAGAACAAAACTTTGAGAACCGAAAGGGCAACAAAAAAAAATAGATACATCTTATTTACATTAAATCTCCTCAAAATC